TAAACAGAATTTAGTTTGTTTTTCTGCTTCCATTGAACTACTTAGGTGCTTTCTACTTTTAGGTGTTTTCCCATGTTAGTTTTTTTTTCCCATTCTGCCTCTCTAATTTTTACTGTCTTTACTGAAGTACATAAAAACTGAAAGCCTGCTGAATACTCCTGTAGAGGCACAATCAGCTCCCTATTCAAAGCTCTCCTGTGTGTGCATCTAAATGATTGCATTTCCTGCATCACCACGCTGCAGCTCTGTGTTGATTTGCTTCTGTTTTATGGCTCCTAACAGAATTTATCATTTGCTGTCTACATGCCATTTTCCAACACACCTGGCACTTTGAAATTCACTTTGTTTGAGCAGGCCCAGCACAGGGGGCAATATTTCAAAGCTCAGCCTTGTCCAAATCCTGCCCTCCTCTTCCAGTTGCCATTCTTCTTGCATGGTTCACCAACCCTGCTTTTACTTTCAGGGTACCGATGAAAATGTTGAATAGCAATGAGGTATTAAAATCACACTGTGATTTTAAGAGAAGAGCCCTAACAAAGAAAGCTGATTTGGTCAAATTGCAAGCACTTACCAATAGATGGTCAGCACTGAATGTGAGCATTAAATGCACTCCTGTCCTCTGATTGCCTTATTACTTGCAATCTCCTCAGCTTTGCCCAGGAACTGCAGTCAGGCTGACTTGTGAGGCTGGCCAGTTTGCCATATCTGCAGGTTTGAACAGTTTGTCCCCAGTGTGTCCCCTGCCTTTTCACGGCTTTAAGCCACCAGGGGACTGAGAATTCTTTCTCACCCTCAGCTTCTTTCCTCCCAGTGAGGGAGCAGATGGTTTTATGGAGCACTTGGTTCCTTTCTGCATCATTTTGAACAATGCCATCTCCCCTTCACAGGTTGCCAGGAATTCAAATAAACAGACAGAAAAAGAAAACCACCAAAAAGCCCTATATTTTAAAAATACAGGAGTGGAGGTTTTGTAGCCTTGACAGTATATCTGTCAGTATTTCTGGGTGTAACTGGAGAGCCAACCTCCACAGCTGGAGCATAAACCTGAGTTCAAAAACAGAGCAGAAGGATCAGCTGGGAGTTTGAGGATTGCAGGAAGCTCAGAGCAGCCATTCCTTGGTGCAGGATCCCACTGCTCCTGGGAGGCTGGGGCTGGACTGAATGCAGGACTTGTGGTGATGAGATGGAGCTCTCTCCCACAGCAGCTGGGGAGATTTGGGAGATCCAAGAGACTTGTCAGAAGCAATGTTTGTCCTCTCGGCTCCTGCAGCAGCAGTTGCACACCATTGTTTTACTCAGGGAGAGATTGTGGTGCTGCCAGGGTTGCTGTGGTGACTAATGAGTTTTTAATGCCACCTGCTGTAAACAGCTGGATTTAAAACAACCATGAGCAAAGGCTCTTTGGACCACCAGGGTTTGCTTTTTGCAGTGAGGATGCTTTTGTCTTTGGAGAAGCAAAAGGGGTGAGAAAGACAGACTCTGGGTTCTGCTGACTGCCACCACATGTGCTGCCTGTTGGTCCCGTGGGTGCTTCCAGCTATCGCTCTGGTCCAGGTCAGCAGCAGGGTGTGACTTCCACAGCCTCTCTGTGCTCCCCAGGACCTTGTGATAGGGGCTGGGTCACACCAGCCCTGGCCCTTGGTCTCATGTGACATATCCTGGACTATTGCAAAAAAGGCAACCCTGATGGGGAAGAAATGATGATGTTTGGTTTTAGATCAGAAGGCTGAAGTTTTATTAAAACTATAGTATAGTTTTATTAATATTTTTTTTAAAACTATACTGTATTGCATTACTATACTATTTAAAGAGAGACTATCGTATTCTACATACATATTTCTTTCTTATCTAACAACCAATTAACAATCTCGTGATTGCTGAGAGTTTGAGACACAGCTGGATCCAAATGGTTATTGAACCCAAACAACTTTCACTAGAATCTAATCAAGTAATCACTTTAGGTAAACAGTCTCTATACTAAACTCGGCATGGGGAAAACAAAGGAGCAGAGATAAAGATGGTTTTCTCTTCTCCTCTCTGTGCTTCTCCTGAGAGACAGAATTATGTGTCTCTGTCCAGAGAATGTGAATACCACACTGGATATTCACTGTCATGAAAGCATACAATCAATAATAAAGTGCAGGGGGAAATCATTATTTGTGTATGGCCTTAAACTGCAAGGAATACACAATCCATGCGCAGGGATGGGCTGGGAACTTTAAAAATTAAAATAAATACTGCTTCAAGCATTTTGTACTAAATTTCCCCAGCAGCATAAAAATGACATTTTCAAGACCAATTTGGGAGAATGTTTGGGAGAACATTTCTGAATGGCTCTAAATTGTTTGTGCACTGCATTTGCTGCCTTCCTCAGCGATTGCTTCAGTCAATCTGTTCCCTAACAAATCGAGTCTCAATGCCAAAGTGGAAGGAGCCTTCGTGAAAGCAGCAGTGACATCTTGTGGCCCTTTCCAAGAGACCCGAGGCCATCCTGCATTCCCTGTCACCCACAGCTGTGCTGGCACCCAGGGCTCTGCTCCTCTGATCTGCCTTGGCATGAGCACACTGGACACAAGGTGGCTTGAGCAGAGGAAAACCAGGCAGTTCACACCATTTTCCCCACTATGCTCCTCAAAAATCAGCCAAGCACAGAGATCCATCCCTGTAATATCCAAATTATCCTACTCATATCTCTTTTGGAAGGGGTTGAGATCTTCACTGATTGAGATTTTCACTTTTGGCTCTCCACTCGTGTTGCGGAAGATAGATAAATATGATTATTCATAAATAATACAGCCAGGATGAGAACAGTTCTCCCAGCTAGCCAGACAATGCCCCTGCCTACGGATGGGTCCTGGGGTGAAATGGACTGTTCCATCTCACCCCCCCAAAAGATGCATGGTTCACCCCGCACCTGTACCCTCCCCTAAAACATCAAGTGCCTGTAACCCCACTGGCCTGAGCCTTGTTCTAACCCACCTTGAAGCTCCTTGAAAAGGGGGCTTCCAGGGGCCACACGCTCTCTTGGAGCCTCCTCCCCTCTCTTGGAGTTTCCTCTCTCCTAGAGCATCCTTTTGTCTCTCCCCTCCCACACCCTCTCAAGCCTGGCCACGTGCTGCGTCTGGGAGCATGCGGCAGGACCTTTCTGCACCCCCAACAAACCTCTTTCCTCAAGAGCAAACTTCAGAGATCTCTGCCTCTATCCATCCACACCATGCCGGAGCCTGCTATTTTCAACACACTCGCTATTAATTTTACTCTTTTCTGGGCTCCTGCACCTTTGGATCAGGCAATCAAGGTGTGCTGGCCAGCTGTGCTCCCTCTACAGTGGAATCCTCATCTCAAACAACAATTTTAGTGTTGTTTTGGAGCTTTTAGGGTTATTCTGGAGGTTGCTCTCTGCAGGTCACAGCTGATGAGAGCTCAGGGAAAAGATGCAAGCTCAGGGAAAATATATCTTTTTTCCCCTATGGTAAACCTATCAATGCAACAATTTATTGTTTCTTTTCAGTTCAGTGACAGGATGAAGCAATATCTGAGGCATTTAACTTGAATTTGACTTATAATTGTGACTCAAAAATTATTTTTATTTGCTGTGATTTTTATTTTTTAATGAAAAGATTGCAAAAAGAAGTGTATTTTTGTTCTGATTATCTCCCAGGTAAAATTATGGTTTTCATATCTTTAAGCTAGTGCTCAAATGGTTTTAATGATCCTTTCTTGCTAGCTCTATAGTACTCTTCTCATGACAGCATCCTTTGGCAGAAGTTTATCACTGGATTTACTAATCAACTATGTTAGACTGTCTGTGACGCACTTACCTTCTTTCTTCAGCACCAGTGGCACCCAAAATTACCGCTGTAGAGTATTACAACCACCTTCTCTACGTCACCTGGACCTATGGAGGAGATGGCCCTGACCTTTCTCATTCCAGGATGCTGCACTGGATGGTTGTTGCAGAAGGAAAGAAAAAAATCAAGAAGAGTGTAAGTATCAGTGTGGAAGGGTAGATGGTGTTCATTTAATTTACTTTTTTTTTCCTTTTTTTTTTTGGGGGGGGGGCGGGGGTGTGGTTTTGCTTGGTTGGTTTGTTTTTCTGAATTGATAACTCAGAAAAACCTTGACAACTGTGATAACTTTGTATTACTGAGTTCCAGCAAGTTTGGTGGAAGCCAGTAAAAGTTATTTCCCAGTGTTAGCATGCAGTTTGAAACACTTGAGGTCTCAAAACAGCCAGTGGACAAAGTGTTTCTTTGTGTGATCCAGTGAAGGTGTTGATAATTTACATAATATAAGAAGAGCTTAAAAACTTCTCAGCTTCAGACAGTAAAACATAAAGACTATTCTTATACACAGGTGTGGTACTTTTCATTTTTATTTATTAAATAGAGTAAGCTGCTGGCTGAGGTTTTTTTATGTTGTTGTTTTTTGGTTTTTTTTTGTTCAAGTATTGTTGCTTCCCTCTTTCTGACTTTATCTTCATAAATTCTGTATTCTTTATTTTATGTTTGAATACAAGTTCCACTAACTGATGGGATGAGGATTTCACCCAGAATGTGAGCACTTAGAAAACTTGCTAGATGCTAAGGTGTGCTCTTGGTGCATTCTCTTGAACATTTGGAAAATTGGAAGTGTATTTTCAGCAGAAGTGCATTTTCAGCAGAAGTGCAGGTTGATCACTGATTTTCATGTGGATTTTTGTAGAACATCCTAGCTTTCATTAAAATTCCTTGTGGCTGTGAGAGTACACCCATCTGAAGCTTGTTGCAACACGAATCTAATTATATGATTAGGAGAATTGATAACCTTTCTGAGCAGCAGGAGCTTTCAGGATTTGGATCCTTACTTCTAACAAGGAAGAAAACTAGACTTTAATTTTTGTCCTACAAATAAAATATGCTATCAATTGAATTAAAAAAAAAATCACAATTATATACCTCTCTTCCTTCAAAAGGCATGTTTTCTGTAAGCATATTATTCTTTCAGGAAAAATCTGATTTCTTTACCATCCAACTTCATTGAATGCAAAAATTGTAGATTAAATAAATATGAAATAAACATTTAATGTGAAAATTTAAATAAATTAAAACCAAAACTGAATATGTAATTTTATTAAATAAAAGATTAAAAGTAGACCGTATCTATAATATAGTATATCTAGAAATATACTATATCTATAAATAAAATTTCAAAACTTTACAAATGTTTGTCTTTATATTCCTTGTAAGACAGGGAACCCAGAGGGTATTCTTTAGGAAAATCCTGCAAAAACCTACCTATTTATAGATAACTTTTATGGCTCTGTTCATATGGATAAATATGGGTACATGCTTGCAGGCATTAGGGCATACCTGTTCTCCCAGGCTCTGCTAGTCACTTCCAGGAACTGTTTCCTTTAAAAGTCATACTATATTGAAATATCATAATATTATTTTATTATGATTGCTAATATGGTTGTTTTTCTTGTGGCATTATTGAAATAAATAGGTAACACTATCAGGCACTGTTGATTTTTTCTTCCTGCTCCCTGTGTATTTCCCAAGATTCCACAGAAGTTGGCCAGTTTTTAGAGAAGTGATGAAAATTATGTACAAAGCCCTATTGGGCTTTATTCAGAACTGTCAGCTTCTCTTGCATCTGAGAATTAAATTACTTTGAAAATCAGCATGAAATTCCTGGATGGGCCCTTTATAGATAGTCCAGAAAGGCTCTGAAAACAGTGTGTTCCAAGTTCCGCATCCTTCTCCATGACTCTGGAGAAATGGGAAGATTACCCTAAAATAAAAGGAAGAAGTTATTCTCCATCTTTTGAGAATTAGCTCAGTTTAGGATCTGTTATTGGATTTGCAGATGATTGAAGTCAGACCCTGAGATCTCTTGTCAAGTTAACAGGTCTCCAAGAGATGTTAGCCTTGCCCAGATGGATTTAATTTTCAGGTCTGTAGGATGCATAAAGGCTTGCCTACACATGGCTTGTGTGCCCTTCTTTGAGGTGTCTGACCTGATTTTAATTCCTCTAAAATTGCAATAGACTCAAGTCCATGCCTTATTTAGCATTTTGCACAACTTGAGAAATCTAGATGCTCCCAGTGGTGTGAGAGAGAATTTCTTTTTTCCTTAAATTTTCACCAGTCACATAGAAAGTGCAGCCTAAAATCATCATCTTTTTGCATTGTGCTAATCTGGTTTTGTGGTTGGTATCAGTGGGAAGTGGTTGATGTCACAAGCCTGGAGCACACAGAAGATGTGCTGTGGTGCACAGGACTTTCTCTGTAGTGTTTTGAGTGAGCAGGTTAATTTTACCAGGCAGTTGTGTGGTTTGTGTAGTGTTTAAGCTGGTGTCTTTTGATTCTTCAGGTGACACGCAATGTGATGACTGCAGTGCTGAGCTTGCCTCCTGGGGACATTTACAACCTTTCAGTGACTGCTTGTACTGAGAGAGGCAGTAATACTTCCATGCCCCAACTTGTGAAATTGGGTAAGAAGCGCTTGTTTGTACTTTATTAACTCACCCCACTCATTTGACTGTAAAGTAACTCTGTCAGCACCTTCCTCATTTCAGTTTTGTCCCTCTGAGCCCATTTCTTTTGCAAAGCTGTGATTTTCACCTCACCTTGCTGTGAAGGTTGTCTCATGCCTGTGTGTGAAGCCACTCTCCTGAAAGGGTTTTGTTCAAGAGGAGCAAGAGTGGCAAAATTTGACTGTAAGTGGAAGTAGGAGAGTGGAAATCGCTTGGTGCCTTGCTGAGAGAACAAGTCAACTTCACAGTTGCTTGCCTAAGGTCTTGAACACATGTAGGTTTTGAGGACGGCAACTCAGGCTTCACAGATGAACTTTTCAATAAGAAGTAGAACCTCTCTTTCTACCTTTCTGCTTCTGACAAGCCTATTTCTACACCTCTCTGCCATTTGGTCTGCTTTTCTGTCTCCCCTCATCTCTCTCTGGACATCTGCAAAATCTTTCAACACCAAAACTTACCCTTAAATACCAATTAATGATAGTATTCTTTATAAAAATAGTCAGATTTGTGAGTGTAGAACCCAGCTTCATTTTAAGAGAAATATGTGTAATATACTCATAGAAACAAAAGAAAACTTGAGAGTTTGATCCTTAATGTAAGAGTTTCAAATGTAACTTTCTACCTGATATCTTTCTTTACTTGAGGGGGAAACTGGACACTGCACCATTGTACCTTAAGAAATTTTAGTTGTCTTTTGAATATATGTGGAGTTGTTGAGCCCTAGGTACCTAAAACACTGAATTTTCCAAGTGTGCCAGACTGCTTTTATTGGCATTAGCTCTGCTGAGAAGGTGGGTAAGGAGGAGTTTGTAATTTCAGTGTGGATTATCTTCTCATTATTATGAGATTCTCCATTCATATTATTATGAATAATAATCCTTTTGTGAGTCACCGTGAGAGAAGTTAATTTAAAGGACTATAATTTCTAATGGGATTAGAGCTCTTAAAAAAAAAACCATTGTCCATTTATTTTTCTCAGTATTCTTACAGTACTGAGGCAAACAGACACAACAATCTGAAGTTCTTGCAGGTCTTCTTACCAAAGACAATATTTGAAAGAAGTAGACAAATTCCATGAGTTTTCTTTTCCCTGTGCAAACCATATCCACTGCTTTCCCCATGCCTCGTGTGTGTATTTGTTCACCCACTGAGAGGGTGAATGTGTGGGAGTGAGTATTATCCTCTACTACCACTGTCCAAATGTTTTAGGGTGGTATTTCAAAACACCAGCTAGCTTTATCTTTCAGACAGATCCATAAGCCTTATTCATGTTGTACACCCTGCAGCAGTTGTATCTTCCTGCTCTTTCCTTATGGATGGGCACTCCTACTGAACTTGGATGGGTATTTTGCCCTTCAGTGTCAACAAAAAGAAGGTGGGATGAATTCCATTTCAATAAATCCCTTCTATGTGGAAGTCCAGGGCTTCCTTCTCGCTGCCCTGGCAGGTCTGGAACCCTGGCAGGGGATCAGGAATCCCCCTGGACAGAGCCCCCAGAGACACTGTCTCTGATCTCTGTCCACGGAAAAGAGTTTTCAATCTTACAGGATGAATTACAAGCTCTGAGTGTTTGATATAAGTAATAATTAAGTGTGGTATGGGTGCAAAAGTAAAATTTTAGGATTCTGGATTAGGGGTTCAAAGGGGACAAGATGGAGGAAATTGGGTGTGTCTTGTCCTTTTTCTCCTCCTTCATGCCCTCCATGTTTCACTATAGTGTTGGCATTTTTCTCTTGGTTCAGGCTGGGGACACACTGTTCAGTGTAGGTGACAGATATTGGCACATTATTGTAAATCCAGCCCAGGGAGTTTCTGGTATTTAATGTTTGTAACATCCCACTGAGGGCAGAGCCCCACACACTGCCCTGCAGGACAGAGCTGGGCAGGGCAGTAGAACATGTTAGAGATAAACAGAATAAACAACCTTGAAACCAGCACAGACAAATTATGACTTCTTCTTTGGCAGTGGGGCAGAAAGACAGAGACTTTCTACAATCTTGGAATCATCAATACCACAGATTCCGACACTTCTAGACTTTTGGGTGTGGGGTTTTTTTGTTAGATTGAATTTGATTTTTTTTCCCCCTTTATGATGTTTGAACTTTGAATAGACAAAAGTGAGGATATTTTGCCAGAGGTTTTCCCTCTCTCCATTTCTGAGGGGAGCAATGGGAGTTGTAATTAGCAGTAGTGGAAGCTGACTCTAAGTGATAGACGACTCAGCACTTGGCAGTCACTTAAGCATTCCTGCCAAATGTTCTTCCCTCCATGATGTTTGCTTCATCCTGGCAGCTTTCCACCTGCAGAAAAATCAATCCATTTGCTGGAAGCAAAAGGAGGATTTGCTTGGGACGCTGCCCAAATGCAAAACTCATATGTTAATTGAGGCCATTTTTTTTACCTGGAGTGAGGGATGGAATGTGTTTCTGAGTCCAAGAGCAGATATATGTGTGTAATTATGGGAGAGGGACACTTTCCTATGTAACACTGGGACAATATGTGCACAGCCCCATGACACACATGAATGTGCCTCAGTTCCTGCCCAACTCTTTCCATAATGCCAATATGGCTTGGGTAGACTCCAATCCCAGAACACAGATCTGATTGTTTCAGATACATCTCCAAAATGTCTATAACTACTTGAGCACACCCCTTGTGCCAAGGTTCCTGTGACAGCATCTCACAGAATGAGAATAACAAATTGTGTGTGAAAGGAAAAAGAATCAACCCAGAATGTTCTTGTGCATCATCCATTGTATGCAGTGTGTTCAGAATCCCAAAATAGGGTCATTGTTTGAGAATTACAGCTTTAATTAAACATCCATAGAATAGGAGATCTGAAAACTGTGTGGAACGACTCAGAAATGTACCACCCAAATTTTACAGTCTCTGAAGGCAAAGCAGAAGAGCCCAGAAGGCCTGAGGTATGGAAAGCTAGGCATTTCCAGTACCCATCTTGTGAAGCCATCAGGATGAATATCAGGATTCAGCACTGGTGTTTAAATAATACTGAGGAGAAATAGTATCTCTCATATTAGCACTATGCTTAGGCCATTGGCTCCTCTCCTGGTCCTCAAGATTTTCCCTGCTATTCTGTGCTTTCCATTCCCCAGGTTGGTTTGGGTGTGGTTACAGGGAGGGGTGACCTCCACAGGGGTTCATGAGCAGGGAGATGGCCCTGGAGGCAGCAGCCAAGGCCACTGGACATTGGGATAGGGGAGTCCACACTCCCATCCATATTTCACAACATTTCTGATGCCATCACTCCCAGGAGATCCTCCATCTATGACTTTTGTCATAGGGCTGTCCTCTGCTCGATAGACTCTTGTATTTGTTTGTCTGTTGTCACTTCATCCAGCACAAAAGCAATGAAAATCAAAGTAATTAATTGAGGACCTCTGGAGATCTGGATCTCTGCATTCCTACAGATCCAGTAGCCCTTAAATGTTAGCCGGGGGGGGGGGAATACTACAAGTTTGGTTGTTTTTTAATCTGGTAATTGGCTTAATGTTTTTCTCTGCTGCAATTAAAGGAACCTAGGCAACCTTTGCTTGTGGGAAGCTGGTTCTTTATAGTCTCCTGGGCAGCCTTGTGAAGAAAAGCCTTCTCAGGCTAAATGTGTTGCTAACAGGTGGACAGGGATCTTCTCTGAAAGAGTTCCTGCTAACATTGCTCTATTAATAGAATCCACTAATGATCCTCAAACAAGGGCTCTGCTGAAAAGGGAAGTGAAGTAATTATCCCTCTGTCCAAATAGAGAACGGTTTAAATAGAGAAGAAAAACCAACACACTTCATCATCTTCCCATTTTACAGTGGTAGTTTGTCATCATGAGAGGATTTACATTGGTAGACTTTATCTGAAGGAAATGAAAGCAGGGCATCAGGCATTGCTTTCAATTCTTTCATTTTTCTCAGCTGTCCGGAAACTTAAAGATAAGCTTAATGAAAAGAGATTTTTCTCTTACACCAGAACCAGCCCCTCCAAAATCACTGTTTGCTGTCAACAAGACTCAGACCTCTGTGACTCTGCTGTGGGTGGAAGAAGGAGTAGCTGATTTCTTCGAAGTCTACTGCCAGCAGGCTGGATCTGGCCAGGAAACAAAAGCCCAGGTATGTGTCTCTTCATTGGTGTCCACTCTTCATCCCAGAATTAAAATTTTAAAAGGTAACTATGCTTCAAATACTAAAATATTTTCATTGTTTTGCAATATTAATGTTGACCTCTGTCTTACTGAGGTTACATAACAGGTTGGAGAGAAGCTGTGTGCATCCAGCAGTGTCAGTGGAGTTGGCTACATGTGGAAATGGCTCTGATACATGCAAAACCTAACAGGCTATGAAAATAAAGGAATGCCAATGAACAAGAAGGGAAAATTGGTCAGGTAGCTTCATAAGGAGTGGGGAAAATAGAGATATTTAGATGCCATGAGTTTTCTGATACAGTATCTAATTATTTCTGGAATACTTTATTCCTGGTTTTGAGATCTCTTAATTGAAGTTCTGTAGGAGATTCCTTGCTGTTCCAAGAGTACCTTTATGCAAATGTGGCTGCTCCTAATGCATTTTATATTATTTTTACCTCAGGGTATTGTCTTCAAGACCCACCTCCTGAGGTGAACATATGAACCTCCTTTTCTTTCTGTCCAGTCAGGTACCTGTGCTCAGTGGCCAATTTAAATATATAGTATTTAAATGGGTAATGCTGTTAAGTGAAAAACAGAGAGCAGTAGTAGTTTTAATTCCATGACATTCAATACTGTGCTACATGTGAGGTTTACTTTGTGCTTTAGCTGATGGTATAATGAATCACTCTGATTACATGCCACAAAACATTATTTTCTCATGTGCATTGTGGCACATAATGGGGAATCATTGAGAAAGAAGTGAAAAATTACCTACTAAAACCACTGATTACCACATGTAAAAGACCTGCATACTCTTTAATGCTATGGAAGATCAGTCTGAATTATTTAATATTATTTTTAAATTGAGACAGACAACGACTAAAGGAAGAAAAATGCTTACGTGCACTTAAATCTTTTGGATCATTTAGATTCCACCTCTAGATTCTTGCTTTTTCATGATGAATAGCAAAGGTTGCAAAGTCATTATCATCACTTACCAGAGATTCAAAATAGTGATGGGATCAGGCAAGGAAAGCACCAGAGGATTTGCAGAGCAGATCTCTTTTAGGAGCATCAGGAAAAGACTGCTTCATTTGGCAGATGCTTCAGAGGGTGTCTCCTTTGTTGACAGGAACATCTGGCACTGGGTAATGCACAGAGATTGTCAGCTCACTCCTCATTGGATTCATCACTCTCTTTTCTGCCTCCATGAAAAACTGGGAAGGGCTCCTTTCTGAACTGTAAAAAGGGATGCTTTCCAAGTAGGCTGGTGAAAATTCTTTGTGATTTTCCATGCCAATTACATGAACATTTTTGTCCCTTCCCTGCATCTTTAAATCAGTGAAATGAAAAGCAGCAGGTTTCCAATTTTGAACATCTTGGATTTGAGTTGACTAATTTAAATTTCCCAGAGGGGAAAATGGAAACATGAAACCAAGTACAATTGCCAAAGTTTGACTCCTCCTTTCGGCTCAGGCAATAAAAAGGTTCTCCTTCCTTCCAGTCGTGTGATTTCATCTGCACAAGGTACCTCAGAATTACTCTGCAACAGGAGTTTAGGATTAGGCCATGGCTGACAACAGGTTCTTGCAAGTATCCAGTGCTTGGGACTTGTTACAGCATCTTGCATTCTCAATCTGGAGTGGGTTCATTTATAAAACATCTCCTTCTCTCCCTTCTAAACCACTGTCTCACTGTCCCTGTTTTCACAGCTGTAACCCACCCCTGCTTCTGCAGGGCAGTCCAGAAAACAGAGCCTTAAGGAACTCTTTCTTTAAGTCAATGCATGTGGTGTTCTTTCTGTGTTTGTTTGCTCTTGCTCTATCAGCATTTAAAATCCACAAAAGTGTTCATAAGGGTCATAATAATTAACACGTTGTATAAATATGTAGAGTTTCTGCCAGCTAGAAACACTGAGATGTAGGGTGTTTGATCATAATTATTGCAAAAGACTTTGCTCTAGCTTTGTTTTTCACCTTGGCCACTCAAAAGGGCTCACAGGTCTCCACACTCAGAGGAGCTGCCTCAGAGACAGAGGTGACATGCATTCAAACCAGAATTGTGATTTCATTCATGGCAGAGGTTGTGACTGCCTTGGATCTTCTTTGATTAAAAATAACTTGGTTTTCCTCCTACCTGTGTGGCTTAGAAACCAGAGCTCATGAGCTGTGTCCACCTCTGGGATGTCCTGGAGGTCACAGTGTTCTCACCTACCAAGTCTGTGCCTGACCAACCCTCTCTGGGGCACTCTCAGGGTCTGCTGTGCTGGGATGACCCCAAGAATGTAAAAGTCCTCATTTCCCAGCTCATGCAGCCAAAGAAGGAGTCTGAAATGCATAGGGTTGGCTTCTCAAGGTTGTTTATTTTTCCTTGTCTACACCATTCTTTCTCTAATCTGCTGAGTTCTGTCTAGCAAGGAGGCCATGGCGTTCTGCCTCTCACCTTGGGTGAGAGGCAGAACACATTTTATATCAAAATTTATGTATAGTCTGTTTCCAATATTGTGCCAATACTTGTCATCTATGTTGGACGGTGTGTCACTACCTTAAACCAATAGAAAAGTGTCACCATCACACCAAAACAAGGAGAACAAGAAGAAGAAGAAGGCCAGGACACGCCCAAATCCCTCCATCTTGACTCCCTGAACCCCATTCTAAAAACCCCAAATTTCTACTTTTCCACCCTATGTTAATTCAACTACCACACTACTCAAACCCTTGTGGCTGTAATTCCTCATACAAAGCTGCCAGCGTTTTCCACGGGCTAAAATCAAAGCCACAGGTGTTTTTGACTTCATGCCAAGGTCTCTGAGCCCCCTGCCAGGGTCTCGAGACAGCCAGGACAGCCAGAGGAATGTCCTGGACTCTGACAGGGTGCGTGTCCTTCCCTGCCCAAAAGGCTCTGGGGTCCATGGAGTGCTCTGGGGTGTTTCCCTCCCCTTTTCTGCCAGTCTATCTGCCTGCTGTCAAAGACAGGCCCTGGTTACCTTTCCTGTGTTTCAAAGTGTTGATTTCTCCCACCAGACTTGACTTTACCTGTCAGATACATGGAACACTGATTTGTGCCCTGGCATTCACAGGAGAGACAAACTCCTTTGTGTTTTTCCCCATGTCTGCAGGAACCTGTCACTGTCTCTTCACACGTTGTCACCATTTCCAGCCTGACCCCTGCCACTTCCTACAACTGCAGTGTGACCACCTTCAGCCACGACAGCCCCAGCATCCCCACCTTCATCTCCGTTTCCACCATGGGTAAGCAGCACTTCCCTGCTTTCTCCTTCTTTGTCCTCATCCAGCTACATCTGTTCTCCCTTCCTTTTTAAAGTTGCTCTTTTAATGCTGGCCCCAGGGGTTGTTTGTGTTATGGAAAGGCTGCCAGATGTGAATGGGATGGGGGGAGAAGCTTTGGAAAACCCTTAGAAAAGGGGCTTGGTTCTGGACTGGGTTTTAGAAATCAGGGACAGAATTTGTGGTGTCAATACTAAATATCAGGTTCAGTCAATACTGACATTGGCTGCCTGATGATATTTATGGAGAAAAATGTTTTCTCAGCCAAGCCCAAACAAGAGGAAAATCACATTCATATAAGCTGTTAAGGCTTCCTGCATTCAACAAAGAAGTAAGAGAGAAGAAAGGCCTCTGCATGATCCTCAGCAGTCACAGCCTCCTGAGGGAGGATCCCTGGGCATGTAATTTTCCAGAGTAATTAAGCATTTTCCACCCAGCATGTTACAAATCCTCAGTTTATTATTTTGCTTCTGGGTCGGAAAAAGCATTGATTATTGTTGAAGAATTATTTCAGAGTGGAAATGCGATTTGGAGACATAGATGATGATGAATATCTGTATTTTGTATTACCTTCACAGTTTTCCCTTGTGTTATAAATGTCAGCTAAAGAGGAAAAAAATAATAAATCAGAACATGTTAAATTTCAACAAAAATGCCAGGGTGAAGGCATTTCCCCACAGAAATTTTCTAAGAGCAATAGCTGCTCAAACACTCCCTTTATCTACTGTGGTAGATTTTTCTCTCTCTAACGCTCCAGGCTCTTTGAGATAAGTTATAAAAAAAATAAAATAACATTATCAAAACTCAGGGGGAAATAAAACCAAACAAAAATGTCAATGCTTCTGAACTGAAAAACTGAGAGTCTTTTTCTGTACTTACAGTCACTGAGATGAACCCGAACATCGTGGTCATCTCCGTGTTGGCCATCCTCAGCATCCTCCTGATTGGACTGCTGCTGGTCACTCTTGTTGTACTCAGGAGAAAACACCTACAAATGGCCAGGTAAGTCCAGATTTATGCCAATTACAAAAAAAAAAAAAATAAAAAAAATCAGACACTGACAAACACGTCATGTCAATAGTTTCAGCTGAGAATGCTTTTGTGTGGGTGGGTGAGGCTGCTTGAGGTGCTTGTGAACAGAGTGTCTTCAAAAGAGCTGTTTTGCTGCTGTTGAGCATGTCTTCTCCTTCTATCTGCTTTCACTCTTGACCTGACTGACAAGCCTCAAGCTTTGTCTCATTTTGAGCTTTGCAGGATCGAGTCCATAACTGCAATCCCATTTTACAAAAGGGTTGTGTCAGGAACATGAATGATAATTAGGATCTGAGGCAAATGGGCATGAGCAGGACATCAAGGTTCTTTGAAAGTCTTTGATATGGTTTGGAGCAAGAGATTTTTTCCATACCAACAGATAACATTTTCTAGAAAGTCTCTCTCTCACTATTTGCCAGTCTGCACCAATCATTTGTACCTGAATATTGAAATTCAGTTTCCTTTTCTAGGCCATCTTTCCTGCAACTGCTCACTTTAATGTGGGTTGTTGTGGCCTGTGTGAGCTATGGAAGTTTCCCCAGACTCTGTATATCCTGTGTATATGCATATTTATATATATATAATTGGTTTACCTACTAGTTTTGAAGGTGTCACAGAGTCTTTGTCCTTTTATAATCTATGTAATATATTTTATGTTAATTTACTGTATTGTGTCAAGAAGGAAATTATTTACTGTAAAAAATACTTATGCAAACAATCTTGTGCTTGACAACCTAGAAGATGCTGCATTTTGTGTGATGTCTTGTCTATGTATTCCATGCAGGAGATGACCACATCACACCTATGTTCCAAGTTATCTTTTTAAGAAAACATTATATAATTTCTTCCTTTTGCATGTAACTGGCTCTGTGGAAATCCCAGCTAAATTAATTATCTTTCCTATTTAATTACTGTGCAGCCAGCCCAAAGCTTTTTCTCTTCATCAACTGCTTCTAGCCACAGAAGATAAACACCCCAGGAGGAAATTTTAAAAAATAAATCCATCAAGAAGCTGCAAGCAATTGTTTGCGTAAATCAAGAAAATAGTCAAGTTAGTTTACAATTCGTAGCTGAAAATAATGGACTTGTGATAAAGAAACAACTAGAATGTTATTCAGGATTTTTTTCTTTTGTCTAGAGTTATTTTTATTACTCAAAATTACCTATAATTATCCTGTAAAAAGGACACAATAAAACAACTTCTCCTTAGAGTGGGAACAGTGAATATTTAGTATAGAAAGGTAAATATTTAACCTGTGCACTGAGGCCAGTGCCATGCTATGGAAAGTACAAATCTGGACAGAAGATAAGGTCTATTTGAGAATTTCATTCTTTTGAAGCATTTTTAGGCAATTTGATCTCAGGTGGTGTTGAACATTTATTGGTTTTAGACAACCGCATTAAGGGTTTCTAGTTATGTTCCTTACAGATTATCTCAGACCTAGTCACAGATGTGTTCAGCACTTCCCTGCTGAAGAGTTCTCTGTTAAATCAAGCTCTTTGCAAGTGTTGTGAATCCAGAAATGCTAATTTTTACCTAATGGTTGTCCTGGAACAGGGAGTGCGGGGCTGGGACCTTTGTGAATTTTGCATCTTTAGAGAGAGATGGAAAGCTCCCCTATAACTGGTGAGTGTTTGAAGCAAAGCTTATGTTTTTTTCCCCATCTCTGCTTTTTGGCAAATATTATCTGTAATCTTAAAGTGCTTATTTTTTATGTCATTGCTGTCCCTTTTTAGGATAAAACTACTAGACTTGTTAATTTCATATTTTATTCCTTAAATGTATTTTATTTCTTGAATGATGACTGAAGACATGAATTCTGTCACCTGCTGTTTTTAGTAGGCAATAATGTATTTACATGTCAGCCAAGTTGCATAGATGTATTTGGGGAGGATTTTTTTTCCCCTCTCTCTTACAGATATATTTCCTAAAATAACACAACTGTAGATAATTGATCTATACATTCATTAGCACTACCATGCATTTGCATCCAGGAGTAGGCTTATTTGTAGATAACTTAATTACCAACTGTCTTCATACAGTGCCTTTAATAAATATTTCCTTACATTACAAGACAAGGACAAGCCAACTCAAATATATTCTGTAACTAATGTTCAGTGCTGTTGAAAAAATCAACAACAACAACAAACCCCTAAATATATCTTGCTAGTCGAGAAAATCACCTGCAAGAATTGCAGGCACTGATATGGACTGTAAATCATCACTGTTACCATCAGCTGAAGAGAAGTAATTGTAGAAATAAAATCTGTAGGATTAGCATTTATAGAAGTAAAAGGCTCTGAGAGCTACCTGGCTGGCACCAGTGTGGTCATTTCCATCCCTATTTTGATAATAAATGAGTGGTAATGACAGAGCCATGGTTTACTGCTCTGTTGTTAACAATTTCTGCAAAAACTTCTCTTTCAAGGCAAGTCCAAACAGAGACACTTACAAGCATGACATCACCCCCATTCCTGGAGAAAATACGTGCCTTTGCACCCATGGTCAGCTTTGCTGACAGCCAGGAAGTTGGAAAGAAAAGTTGGTGCACAGGGAACTGCTTTCCATGACCTCACAGGACACAGCCTGCCAGCAGGGTTGGGATTGAATGGACTGACACTGCACCACCACAAGCCTTTTGCTAATAAGCCTGCAAAGTGAACTAACAAGCCCAGCAAATCTTGTCAATACCTCACTGTGCTGCTAATTAACTGGATATTAAACAAGCTTCACTTGCTTGGTTTAGGTTTAATAGCAGCCAGCTGTATGCAGTGCAAATGAAACCACTCCTCAGAGTGGCAAAAAAGTCAGAAGAGCAAACACTCATGTTAATTAAATAGCCAAGCTTGAATGAAATTATTAAACTAGCAAGAGATGTTATTAAAACCATAAAAGGCTTTTTATTTTTATTGGGAAGGGAATTAACAGGCTTGGATGTGAAACTGATGCTTGTGGTGTACTATTGACTAGGAAGGGCTCTTGTCTCTGGCTGAGCCACACAATTCCTGCCAAAGCCTGGGGCAGGTGCCCTGCAGAAACTGCACTGCCTGCTTCTTCTGCAGCAGCAAAACTCATTAAAACTCATAACTTGGAGTTTTCATTGCACGGGCAGAAGATTTCCTCTCTGGTTGGAAGATTTAGAGATGATTCAATTTGGCATGACTTGTTTGTCAGGGAAAACACAGTATCTACCAACTTCATAAGAGCCAAGAGTACTGAACAAGGAAATTTGTATTTCCTCTTTAGAACAGCTGCAGAAGGGTGGTATCACTTTTAAGGCAGCAGATTCTCTGATGGGGAAAAAACACACTGAGAGTGTATTTGACAAAAAAAAAAAAATCATCCTTTTACTGGAGCCAAATTTGTTTAAGTTTCATGAGTTTTTCATATTTGCAAAGTACCTGAAGCCCATTTCACCAATAGGTAGAATAGGCCTGAGTGGGTTTCCTGAATTAATGCACAGCAGAACCTGGTAAACAGCTTGCAAACACTGAAGTTTAGAATGATTTTGTACTCATATTTCCTTTAGCCACAGTAAAATCTGCTGTGGATAGTTATTCACAGAAAACACAGTTAGAAGAACTGTTCAAGCAATGTTTAGATGAAAACCTAGGAAAGAATTTAAAGCACTCTGCAAAGTGTTATAGGGATTCCTTGAGAATGCTGACACAATAGAGGGTATTAAGAGATGTTTTAAGCATCTGAATTTATCTCTGATATCCACAGGATCACTTGCAGGAACAAACATGGGAGATTATGTGTGTGATAAAAACAAACCATATCAGTACTGAATATCTCAAAACACTGAAAATAGGCTTAATACCACTTATGCAATTGCTGGAAATCTGTTGAAGATATTTTTCCTACCCACTTTACTCTGAAAATTAGGAGTAACAGGTCTGAATCAATATGATAAGACATACTTATTTTGACCATATAGAATTTTGTGTTGGATAGCTGAAAGCCCTGCAGGTTGAGGAGTAAAAATTCTAGGGATGCTAACAATATTTTTAGGAAGTAAGTAAGAAGTAGGGTTTATGGGTTTAGGTGATTTTTAAAATAGAATTTGCTGATCTCCTGATGTCTGTTTGTCTTACTAACTCTCCTCACTTTTTCATCTTTATGTATGTTATTTATTAATGCTCACAGGCGTAGAAGTGTATTTGCTTTCCTAACTCTGCTACCCTCATGCCTTTGGACTGATTATCTTTTGGCATTTTATGTTAATCCTTGGTAAGTGATTTACTTGTTTTTCCATATGCAATGTGTAAACAGTGTGAGTTTCTATGACATGAAAAATGTGTGGTACTTTTGTTCTCAATTGGGTCAAAGCTTTTGGAGATATAATTTTCTTGTACTGGAACATGGACTGGCGAGGATGTGGGTATCAAAGTATTTGCTACCCTGCTTCATCTGGTTTGTCTGTTTATTCTCCAACTCATTTTGGTATTAAAAAGCTAATTTTACAGTGTTCATCATATCCATCTCATTGCTGTCTTTGCAACTTTTGCTGCTTCGTGATAAGTCCTGGCTTCTTCTGTCCTGGTTATTTACATGTTCATTGCCTGGCACTGGCTTCTGCTGCTGTTGTTCTATTACTAAAATTGTTTGATCATGCCCCACCTGTTTGGTGTGTGATGTCAAATACATTTGTTTTTCAAAGGTGCTATTATGCCCTCCTGATGTCAGTAAAATTTTGCTTTTGAAAAAAGCAGTTCATTGAGAATGAATACCACTAGAAGTCCCAAAGAGTAAAAACAGAGTACTGTGTGCACATCTCATTTTGTATATTTAATACTTTAATCTGTAAATGATTTATAAGGATTTAGTAAACACCTGATTGTTTTCTTGAAAATACCTGACAAAGCCACATGTCTACTTAGAAAAATAATTGTTTTACAAGCCATTTAACAAATAATTACAATTGACTATGACCCAAAATTTCCTATTTCATATAAAGAAACTTAAGTTTCTGATGGTCTTGGGTCCAAGTTTTAGGGATTTACAAAAAAGGTGCTCCTGAGGTTAAGATTTTGTTTCCCAGGCATTTTCCCTGGTCTTACCATGAGGCACCAAAGCCCTGGCAGGCAGACATCAACATGTTCAGCAGAGGGATTTTTGAGACTGATTTTCCTTGAGTGGGTCTGTAGAAAAACCCATCCAAATTTTCAGTGGGACTAGAAATGTAAGTAAAGAAAGGTCCATTTCTTCTGTGAGGAAAGAAAATACGTGTTCTCCACACAAATCCTACTGAGGAGCACGTGGGGGTCTTCCTTCCTCTCTAAGGATTATATTATGTTATTGATATGATATTATAGTATATTATAGTATATTAATATTATATTAATATTATATACTTGGAGCTTGTCTGGTATAAGCTCAGCTAGCTCTCAAGCTGCACAGAGGTGGAGGGTCTGATGCCTTGAGAGGGCTGATGTAGAACAGAGGCTGGACAGAGTTAAAGAATAAAGTAGGGATTTATTAAAAGGATCTCCTCCATGGATCCACCTTGGGCAGGACAAAAGCCCAGCCAGGGCTGCACCCAAGATGAACCAAAATGGTCCCAAAGTGCACAAGCACTTATGGGGGCTCTCCCTGGGATCAGTTCTGCTCCATTGGCACCTTGGGGTTCATTGTCCCATTCCAGCTCCAGCCCAGGCAGTCCCATCCTGCTTGTTTTTCTCTCTCCAGCCCATGTTGTTTGTGCTCCTGGACCTGAGATTTGGATCATTTGTCCTTGGTCCCCAGCTAGAGAAGGAATTGTTTTGTCCCCGTGCTCTGTGAAGAGAGCTTACCATCCCCTAATGTGAAGCTCAGAACCACACACTAAAACAGAACAGAACCTGAAAAATATAAAAGCTGAAACCTGAGGCATCAGGTCAGGCAAGCAGGTGATTATTTTGGAGGTCACACTGAGCTCTCTTAGCTGGTCAAGAAGCCCAGAGTGGCCACTGTCTATGGCACTGCTGCATCTTTTGTCCCTCTGCCTTTTTTCTTTTATTATGCATTAACTCACCTTTCCAGATGTGCATCTTTCTTCAGAGGTTCCCCCTTCAATCAATCTACCTATTTCAATCTAGATGATTAAGTTTACAGGAGCTGAAGTGGAATGAGATGAGATTAATCCCTCTCTTTATATTTTAATATGTAGACTAAATGGAACAACAGATGAAACACCAGCTAGTGTTTCAATGGTTTTTGTTTTGCACATAAGCTGGTTTAAAATATTTATGAACATTCAGGAAACAATTGCACTGCTAAGAAGCAAAGGCCTCTTGAGACTATCAAAACACACAAAATTCTTGCTAAGAAATGTTTGTCAGTCATTTGTTTTATTGCCTCTTAAGTGTTCCTTGGAGAAGTGTTCTTAGAAACATTCCCACCATAAAGGGCGTTTAGCGATTTTTTTTCTTTTCAAATTAATTCTTATGTGCCTGACATTAAGAGGTTTTACCATAGTCACAGGGGACAGAGGTGTGTTGAATAATTTAGTGTAATTAACTTTAAGATTTCACTGGAAAAAAATATTTGAAAATGGAAAATAAATACTACTACTTTAGATGTACAGTACATATGAATGTACAGATAACATGATAGCCTGAAGAGGTTTATAATATTTAATCCCCACATTCATAGAAAGCTGGTATTGCCATAACTCTTGTTAATTCTGCAGGCAAATATGCCTAAATAAATGAAAATGTACTTTGAAAAAATAACAAAATTACTATGTGTTGTGGCTGCTCCAGAAACTGAATATTCTGTAAAATTTAATTTTGGAAAGTAGCCCTTTATTTGTTTTTAGTGTAACTGCTAAACTTAACAGGGTAGAAAAATAAAAATACTCTGCTTTTTAATATTTCTTTTGGTATAATGTCATTATTTCTAATTTAGAAGTCTTGTCCTTTCATTTAATAATTGAAGCTGTGAACCAAATGATCTAGACAATAATTTTCATATCACCATGAAATTAAAAATAACATCATTATAATGTGAAAAATGAATGGTTATTGTTTATTGCCTAGGAATTAAAAAGTCACACTACTAAAATTCCTTCTGGGTAAGCAAGGATCACACAAAGCAAGCTTGCTTTGTGTATGTAATCTTATTGTTGCTTGACTTCTTTGTGGCAACAACAAAATGAACACACAGCCCCCTCTAAAAAACCACACCGTTGTAGCTGGGGTAGGGCAGTTCTCAAGTCCAATCCTTTGGGTTTTACTGCTTAACATACTCAGAAAGCTGCTCACAACTGTTGCTAGTGAATTACATTAGCCATAATCATTGTTTTAAATGACTGTCACAATTATCTCCAGCTGTTTAAAGTCAATTACATTTTCTTAGGTTTAAGCTTGAGTTGTCCTGCTGAGGTCAGTAGGATATTTGCCATTATCTTCATTTATCACCATAAGCAGGTTATTAGATTGGCTCTTTTAATTTGCCTTCACCTTTTCTTGAATTTCCACGTGGTGGTCTTGTCCCTTTACCCAACAGATGCTTCTCATTCCCAGTGCTGACATCCAATTTTCCAAGCTCAACCAGGCTCAGGTCCTGGGGACTCAGCCCCAGCCCACCCAGAGCCAATGGGTCAGGATTTATAGGGCAGCCATGGGCACAGATTTTCCTGTGCTTTTCCAAGATTTTCCACAGATGTGCTTTTTCTGGGCACAGATTTTCCCTTTCAATGGCAGGTCATTCTCAGAGCCTCAGAAGGGATATGCCTCCCACTGGACTCAACAGAAATGCTGCTATCAGCCTTAAATTGTCCACCAGTTATTATCACCAATCTCCTCCTGAGTATGATGAAAAAATACACTTTCTTAAATCAGTGCTGTCTTGAATAAACGTTGTACAACTCTTTAATGAATTAAACACACTTCCTTTTTTTTTCCTACAGGAGTAAAAATGGATTAAAGAAGAGAAAGCTGACCAAGTATGTAACTTCTTTGATATTTAAAGGAATAATTCTTAGCCTAAATAGGCATTATGGAGTACATGGCACAGTGGTATTTCAGTTACAAATACAGAAAACTTCTTTCTAGACATATCCCAAGGGAGATACCTGAAAGCAGAAAACAAACAATAATTGTACAAAAGCAGTTCTGCTCAACAGATTGTAGTAAAACATACAAAATTAGTCATCAGGGAAAAGATCAATTATCCAATTTAGTGATTTCAACAGAGCTTATCCTTAGTTAAAAATTGCAAATGGTGAAAAAAACTGGGATGCATTTGTTTGTAGTGATATTTCCCTATTGACATGGGCCTCTCATTACAATTGTTGCTAGAACATTAGATCATTAATGCTGGCAGGTAAACAGGAGTAATTAAGTGGTGATAAGACAGGTTCCTTTGGGCATATTGCCTCCAAGTAAATGAGAAGATTACTGTGTACATGCTTCAGTAGCTTGTAAATTAGAGTATGATAATTAGGTGAGGGAAGCTGTTTACCTGTGTTTCGTTACTCAGAGTGTCAGCCTAATTATTTCTGTGTTATGTTCAGGGGCTATGCCTGACTAACAGATAGATCTCACCTGGCAAAAAAAAAAAAGTGTGGAAAGATGGGAGTCATTAAATCAAGGCTAATTTGTACCTACTAAAGCTCTCCATGGTTTTTTATAGTTATATGCCACCTTTTTTTAGCCACCATCTCTCTGAGAAAAGAGTTTGAGTTATAATTACAAATGTGTGCAGTTGTCAAAGCCAGCAGAGAAAGCTGCCAGGGCAGTGGCATCCAAAATGTAATACATCCAGCATTTCGTGGCCCTGAACCACAAGATTTGTCCTCATTTCTTTCTGGCATTAACAGCTGCAAATAGATATTTATGACTTGAGAGTATTCTGGTGGAAGGAAATTAAAAGTACTACAAAAAAATCAGATTTTCTCTGTATTTTTGTTTTAAAGCCCTGTCCAGCTGGATGATTTTGATGGATACATCAAGGATATGGCCAAAGACTCAGATTATAAATTTTCTCTGCAATTTGAGGTAAATCTCTGAGGATTCTGCCCTCTGCTACTTGCTCAGATTAGCTTTTACAAGATGTTAAGGCTGCATGGTGTGCTCCTGTGTGCTCTCTGTTGGTCGATCTGTGGCGTTGCTGGGCGGGCCAGCTTCACTTCCTCTGCAGAATTTAGAAATGGAGGTTGGTGTTGTTAAACCCTACATTTAGTGAACTGATTGGAGTGGCTTCTCACATTCAAATTGAGTTAAATGTCAGAAAAAAACACACTTGCTTAAAGTTTAGGGCATGCTGGCAACCTGAATTGAATTTGGGATTTTAATGGTTTTATTGGATATTTAATGTCCTTAACTTGAGAGGAAGTACTGAAATCAGGAAGTAGCATCAGAAATCTCTGTCAGAGCAAGGAGATTTCTCTAAGACAGGTGCATTTCTCTAAGTTCAGGTGCATTCTCTTAATTACTCAAAATTTAAAGTCAGTTTAGTAGTATAAAACCAAAACCCCATCCCTATCCTGGGGCTGTTTCCCAAAGATTTAAACATGGAAAGGCAGTGGGGAGGACTCTCAGGGTGTTTCCACAATCTCTTTCAGGCAGCAAATTCCCATGATGCACCATATATTACTACTAATATATACTACTATTTACTACTATATAGTAGTAAATATGCTACTACCAAATGTAGCTACTGAAGATGATGACTAGGAAGATCTTTTAAGCATTTCCCCAAGACTGAAAGCCACTTGAGGGTTTCAAGAAACCTCATTAAGGAAGGCAGGTAACCACCACAGAAATAATTTAGCAAGCCCCTAGTTTGATAGCATTTTTGGTTTGACAGTGAATGTGGGTAGAGAGGAGCAATTCTGAGTCCCAGCTGGGATGGCAGCAACATCAGGTGGAGAAACCCGAACAGTGCTCTCCAGCTGCTTGGAGCCCAGCTCAGAGGCATCAAAAAAGGACAATCTGTCACCCTGCTGTCAATTTATAAAGTGATTTATGAGCATTTTCTGTCTGCTACCTGCCATAAGGAATCACAAGGACTTATTCTCTGAGTGTTTTTGAGGCTGGCCTTGACATTTTCCTTTCTGTTGTCTCAGGAGCTAAAACTGATTGGGCTGGACATCCCCCACTTTGCTGCTGATCTCCCCATGAATCGCTGTAAGAATCGCTACACAAATATCCTGCCATGTAAGTACAACACACACTAAATCCTGCTAAAACCCCTAGAGAGGGAAAGAAGAGTTCCAATAAGAAAACTGGAGAATCAGGAGATTTTCTAAGACTGGTAAAAGCCTGTTCTACAATCCTGCTCTTACAGAGAGCCAGGCAAGAGTGGTTTTTATGTTAACTTTGAATAGATGTAGCTGCCTGGAAGTGTTTGTCATGGCAAGAGTTTGGAGGTGAGAAACACAAGGGGTTTTATGCTACTGAGTGGTGTTACTGTATTTCTTTTATGATTTTAATGAAGCCTAAGGGAGCCCAAAGGGACAGCACTTGGAGGAGGTATTTGCAGAACACTAAGGATGGTGTGTCCATGTTTGCTGAAGCAAACATTGCTGTCTTAGTCAATACAAGAATTTCCTGGTTTTTAGTAGATTATTTTTGGCCATTCCTATAGGGCTAATTTAAATTTTGCCGAGCTGGAGATGAGTGCCATATTTCAGAGGCAATTTTTTTCTAATTTCTGTTTCCTTTTGCAGATGACTTTAGTCGTGTCCGCTTAGTCTCAATGAATGAAGAGGAAGGATCTGACTACATTAATGCCAACTACATCCCTGTGAGTACAGAGGTCTGGTCAGTGTGGAGTGCAGTGTCCTGCACACCAGGCAGAGGTGGGCCCTTGAAAATAGCACAATATTTCCTGGAAGCTCAGTCATGTTCTCAGCATCTCCTTCAGCTTCCAAATATTTTGTCTCCAGAGAACAGCCATCAAAAAAAAAAAAAAAAAAAAAAAAAAAGGGTGGGAGGGGAAGGTTTTTAGCAAATTTTCCTGCAGTAGCTGTGAATCTTTGTGAGACTTTGATTGGAGTGGTAGGAAAATGAGCAGGAAATGTTAAATGGCCTTTTAAGATAGAGAGGTGAAGCATAGATATTCAAATGAGATTTTTTTTCTAGCTTTCTACTGCACATGGAAGAAAAGGGCTAAGGCAGGCACTCCAAATGCACAAAATGCACACAGCCCAGATGGTGTGTGGAGAGACTTCTGCTTTCTAGCTCCTCTCTGGTGCTTCCCCTGTGCCTCCTTGCACCTGGCAGAGAGCAACCACTTCCCGGGGGTAGCACCCACAGTTTCAGGATAATTGCAGTGTACACAGAGCTGTAGGCAAATATTTTGACACTGGGGGTTGGCTGAAAGCTCATCAGCTCTCTCCACTCTCCAGTGAGCTGGTGCAGTCACTTAGGCTTATCCCTGCCACTGCCACAAGGGTTTGCCCCTCTGGTACCTCTGTGCTGTGGCTCAGTGTGGGCTGGAGAGCAAGAATTCCATGGGTTATTCTGCATGGAGAGGAGGCAGGGCACCACTGCAGCCCTTTAGGAAGAGGTCTTTGACAGAAAAATGAATATTTTTGCAGTCTGGCTGTAGATAGAGCTGACCCTGGCTGTGCTGGAGAGAGCTGAGCCAGCGTTATGGAGAAAGGAGGAGCCCTTGGATGAGTCACTGGGGCCACTTCCCTGTCACTTTGGCATTGCCCAAGTATGCAGTGTTGAGCCAAGTGTCTGTGCATGGCTTCTCTGTGTCCAGGGCACAAACCTCAGCACTCACACTGCAAGAATCAGGAAAAAAAACTTCCAGGCTTCACATCCCAGGAAACTTCTGTCGCACGGGATTGTGGCTAACAGGATCCTAAGCAGCACTCAGTCCCTTTCAGATGTTCAGTTCTGCTTTGCATCTCTTTAGTTCTGCTTATAGCACTGTGCTGACCATGGAAACTGGGATAAACATGTGATGTTAATGCTGTTCTTTTTCTGATAATCAGTGCTCCACTGATTCCCTGTGAGAACCCCGGCCTTGCTCTGGGGTCTCATGTGGTGGTGAAATTCTTCCTCTAATTTGTGCTTCTAAAGAAAAACTCCGCAGGCTTTTGCTGTTTGGTCTTAAGGTAGTTTATTGCTAGTTATCTAACAGATTATGTTTTTGGACTGCAGCTATTTGATTAGCGGCCTGGGTAGAGGCACACATATACACTGACATTTTCTCTATTTGCTGTTTTTTTTGTCTCTCCCCCCGCCTAGGGCTGCTGCTATCTTTTATAAGATATATTTCGTATAACATGTTTACAATTATTCCCCAATACCTACTATTTATGTTGCTAAGTGTTTTTCTACTTTAAACCAATCTGTGAGTGCTATCATTACTAAGAATATGGAGGTAAGGAAAAAGGAGGAAGAATAGGATTAGCCTACTTTCTTCCATTTTAGAACTTCTGACCCCCATGTACAAAGTGAAAACTCCCTTGTACATGTGTTAAAACCCCCCTGTACAATACTAAAAAAATTTCCCCTCTACTTTGTAATTACTTTTACTATACTATCTAACTTTTTGTGACTGCTTGTTCCACCTCCAAAGTTGGTAATTCATTCCATGGCTCAAACTCAAAATCACAGCTGTTTTTCAGCTGTCTGCCAGGGTCTAGAATGCTTCTGACCAAGGCCTGGAACCTCTAAAAATGTCTGAGAGACATTTTGAGTTCCCACAATTCCCTGCCTCCAAACACAGAAACCAGGGGGATCTGTCCCTGTGCTAACCGGGATTTGTCACTTAGGTCAGACACAGCCCACACAGAACAGGCAGCAAATTCTGTGTAGTGCAAAAAAACTGGGATTGAGCTCGTTTGAAGACATGTCTGGAGGAAGCCATTTGTGGAAAATGCTCTCAAATCACAATTAATTTTATGATCCACATTGGCACAGAAATTGCCCAATTTGCATGGGATCATGCTGTGTGTTGGGTATTTTTTGCTCTTGATAGGAAAATAAAATAACTTTCCAAATGCAGTTCTGATGATACAATCTCAGCAAATATGGTTATAGCAGATGCCAAAAGGGTCATTCTGTGATCTTTTTATTATAGTCTTCGTAACAGTCTTTCGGTTTTGGAGAGGTGAAAGGAGCCTTTCCAACTAAAATCATGCTGATAGGAAAGGGAATACATGCATATGAAGCATCTTAGCATCTGATAAGAGCATTGACTTACCATATTTTCTATTATTTTAAGCAGAATTCTAATTAATATTTTATTAGTTTAAGGCCTCATGACATGAACAAGTGTATATAATCCTGTTCCATTTACACCAGTGACTGAAAATCACCCCAGGCACTGCTTGGGATGAGGAACCTGGGCATCTGTAACTGGTTTTGTGCCTATAACTAAACAAACCCTAAAATTACATAATCTGGAAGGAGCTCTAATAACATTCTTTTGGGGTTCTTACTACTTGCTTTTTTAATGTTGCCTTTTCTGCTCTCTGTACAAATGATTTGTGTGGAAGCAGCTTCATCTGCTGTGTTTTAGATTGCTTAGACTTTGGGAACATCAAAATCTAGCAAAAGTTGTCATCACAAAATAAATACAATATAATTTTTTTCTTTATATTAAAAATCACTTTTAGAAGTGCAACTTGAATTTGGGCAAACTAAAAAAAATTTGAAAAATACATGTTCTGAAGCAGTAACCATGTTGGTAAGGAGGACTTATCTCTTTGTCTTTTAGGGTTATAATTCACCCCAGGAATACATTGCAACCCAAGGACCACTGCCAGAAACTAGGAATGATTTTTGGAAGATGGTTCTCCAGCAAAAATCACAAATTATTGTTATGCTCACTCAGTGCAATGAGAAAAGACGGGTATGTAACAAAATCTTCTATCTGGTGTAAAAGAAACCACCCTGAAAAAGAGCTCTTTTCTGCTGAGTCAATGTCTTTGCATTGTTTCTGATCACAAGGCAGCATCACAACCAGCCCTGGAATGGCATCTGCCTTCTCATTTCAGGACCTTCTTTGACATTCCCTGATGTTCCCTGACTTCCTTTGACCTTCTTTGTCCTTTCTTGGCCTTCTTGGACCTTCCTTGACTTGCTGCACCTTCTCTGACCTTCTCTGATCTTTTATGACCTTCTTTGACCCCTTCTTACTTTTTCTGACCTTCTTTGATCTTCTTTGACCTGCTTTGACTTTTCTTGAACTTCTTCAACATTCTTTGACTTTCCCTGACCTTCTTCAACCTTCCTTGATTTTCCTTGAGCTTCCCTGACCTTCTCTGGCCTGCTTTTACCTGCTTTGATGTTGACTTTTCCTGAATTTCTTTAACCTCCTTAACCTTTCTTTAACCCTCTTTGAACTTCTTTAATGACCCCTGATCTTCTTCAACTTTTTCTGCCCTTTTCCGTCCCCTGACCTTGTTATGAAGCCTCCCCTCTTACCAGAGGAGGGACTGAGGGAGCTGGGACTCTCCATCCTAGAGAAGAGAAGGCTCCAGGGGTCTTGTCACTGTGTACAAATTCCTGATGGGAGGGAATGGAAATGAGGGACTCCTTTAGTGGTGATTTGCCCAGTGGCAAGTCAAGAGGTGATGTGTGCAAATTAAAAAAACACATTAAATTCCTTCTGAAGTCAGGAAACACTTATTTTACTCTGAGGGGGACTGGGCACTGGGACAGGTGCTCTCAGAGCTTGCGGAGTCTCCATCCTTGGAGATATTCCAAAGTCACCTGGACATGGTCTAGAGCTGGCTCTAGGTGACATTGCTTGAGAGGAGAGGGGCTTGAACGAGGTGACCTCCAGGGATCCCTTCCAACCTCAGCCTTCTGTGATTCTGCACTTTTAAGTTTAGGTAATTATGAAATGCAAGTTCTATCTTTACATTTTCCCTTGATATTGTAATAGAAATATTTGGAATATAATTTGGGGAGTTTAAATTCTCTTTCCCAGTGTTTTGCTCCATTTAGAGCTATTATATCAGGAAGAATAACAAAAGGCACTCTTTGTCTGTTCTTCATGGCACTAAAGCTGCCCTTCTGAAAACTGATAAATAGCTGATGGCCACATTTAAATGGGAATGGTCAGGCTGGAAGTCCTTGCAGCATAAATTCCTCTTATTGCAGCAGCAAGTGCAGTGCTGTAGGCATTGCTAAACCTGAGGTTCTGTGTCCTTTTGTGTGTGTATATCTTTTTGTATAAAAATACAAAAATGCCTGGATTTCCCTCCATTTCAGGTGAAATGTGACCACTACTGGCCTTTCACAGAAGATCCTGTTGCATATGGGGATATCACAGTGGAGATGCTGAGCGAGGAGGAGCACACGGACTGGGTGTATCGCAGCTTCCGGATCAGCTATGTGAGTGAAACCCTTTGCCAAAGGAGTGATTTCAGTGATTTTTCTTTAACTTTTGTCCATTTCTGGAACTCATCAGGAAATACCTAAGAGAGATCATTGTCCTTACCCTCACTTCACACAGGCAAATGACAAAATCACAAAACTTTCCCCTAAAATCATCTCTAAATTTATCTGCAAAGTGCAAGGCTTAAACAAAAATAGTACTAGAGCTCTGGACACTTCTGTGGTACCAATAATTACTGACAACAAATGTATGAATTTCTTCTTTTCTACATCTCACACACATCTTCTTGCTATAAATTATTCAAAACTTGAAAATATCAGTGGAAGAATTGAAAATGCTTTTCAAAACGGCAATTCTGCAATAATGTCTATCTATAAAGTATTGAAACAGATGTGAGAGTATGTGGTGTCCAAATGAAAGCTTCTCAGATTTTCCTTCCACCTTTGTTTCCTGCATCAGCTCAGTGCCAGCACCATCTAATGAAGGAAAAATTAGGGATGTGGAGGGGTTGTGGAAAAAGCTGTGTACTGGCAATTCATCACTGACCCAGGACCTTATATGCTGAGGATCTTACTTTATCTAAAGCGAGTAGAATTTAGCACTGTAAAAGTGGGTTTTTTATAAGAAGCTTTTTTTCCTAAATGTTTCCTGTGGTAAATTCTTTTTCTTAATTTTGGGGAGTTTTTTTTGGTTTTTTTTTCTTTAAAACTTGAAAAGAAAATCTCTCAGTGAGATTTTTTTTTTCAGGTTTGCCTGCTTGCCAACAGTGTTGTTCTTTATCTGTGGCAAAATGAGAAAAGAAGAGGGAATGGAATAAAAAGCGGAAAAAAGCCCAGAGTTGAAAAACGCAACAGTTCTTGATTTAAAAGCGAACTAAGAAGGAACTACCACAGGGACAAAAGCAAAAAGCAAATCCCAAACCCAGAAACAGGAAGTTCATGTTGTTTTGATAATGATGGCCTGATTTTCCCCCCCACTTTGTAATTAGCTTGTTTGTTCTTTGCCAATTTCTTGGCTGTCTTCAGTCTTTTAGGCTGGATGTGGGGAAAAAAAGAGGAGCACAAAATGACAAAAACGCCCTCAGTGTGATGCCATGGTGCTGTTCTGCTTCTCCCACCAGGCTGATGAGGTGCAGGACGTGATGCATTTTAACTTCACTGCCTGGCCAGACCACGGCGTTCCCACCACCAACGCTGCCGAGAGCATCCTCCAGTTTGTACAGATGGTCAGGCAGAAATCAGCAAAGACTAAAGGCCCCATGGTCATACACTGCAGGTAAGTGCTTCAAGGAATAGGAGAAGAACAAGGTGTGACATTAAATAGGTTGAGAAACCATGAGAAATAGAGATTTTGGGATTTGGCTGAAGGTGGTTCTCTCTGGTGTTAGTGTTATGCAGCTCTGCCCTGTAACCTCATGGAGAAATTCATAGCTGATATTGTTCCATGGGTCTTGGTATTAAAAAAAGTGCTCAATAAGCCAGTGGAGAGATTTAGATATAATATTATAAAATCAGACTCTTTATCTACTGCTTAATTGTTCTGGGAAGGAACAGAAGCAAGTATCAGAGAGCTGGGCAACAGTTGTAATATTTTCTTTTTTTCAATGAGGATTTTTCTAGCAGCAAAGAGGCATATTTTCAGGTAGTATTTTGATACTATACTGTGTATCTTAGACCACATAGATTAAAATAACAATGCTCCAAAAGTAGAAAAGAGTCAAAGAAAGAGTGCATCGATCAACTCCTGCAGCAATTGTTCTCAGACATTAAAGAAGGCACAGAATTAATTTATTCATTTATCTGTCCAATTAACACATCAGATGTTCCATTGTATTCATGTATTTGAGAAATAAACACAACAAAAGCCAAAGTAGAGACCTCTTTTTTTACAGTTATGCTGAACTGTGTTGAGATGAGCTCTTAAACATTATTGAAAACAATTGCAAGGCCTTTCAGAAAAAGCATGACAAAACAGTAGAAAGAGCTTTTGCCAAGATACACACCCTTTACACTCTGTAAAACCTCTGTGAAATCTGACTTAAACATCACATGTCAAATCACAGTGCAAACAATCGTACACGTGAGAATCTCTAAATGAAAGCAGTGTGTATTTTTTCTAGTTGCTGAGATTCCCTTTGGGGAAAATGCAGATTTTCAGCTGAGTGGTAGCTGAGTGGGAGTCTCATGTTCCTAAGGCAGAAGTCCTGAAGTGCAGACTCTTCTGGTGATGCCTCAGGTTTTAGCTTTTAATTTTTTTCAGATTCTGTACTGCTTTAATGTGTGAGTCTGGGCTTCATATTGGGGGATGGTGAGTTCTCTGCACAGAGCAGGGAGACAAAGCAATTCCTTGTCCAGCTGGGGACCAAGGACAAATGATCCAAATCTCAGGTCCAGGAGCACAAACAACGTGGGCTGGAGAGAGAAAAACAAGCAGGATGGGACTGCCTGGGCTGGAGCTGGAATGGGACAATGAACTCCAAGGTGCAAATGGAGCAGAACTGATCTCAGTGAGAGCACCCGGGAGCGCTCGTGCATTTTGGGACCATTTTGGTTCATCTTGGGTGCAGCCCTGGCTGGGCTCTGGTGCTGCCCAAGGTGGATCCATGGAGGAGATCCTTTTAATAAATCCCTACTTTATTCTGTAATGCTGTCCAGCCTCTGTTCTAGGGCAGCCTTTGCAAGGCATCACTGAGGGGTTGTCCTTTGAGGACAAGCTACACTCGTGCAGCGCCGTTGCAAGCCAAGAGCTTTGCAGTGTGGAGAGCTGTGGAGCCAAGTCCTACAGGTGTGGTCCCCACTGTCTCTGGGCATCCATTGCTCCTGAGCAGGTCTCCACAGTTCTGGCTCCAGCCCCTGAAGTTGCAGGAGCTCTCATGCAGTCTGTGAGGGGAGCAGTGACAGCAGGAAGAGCAGGGAGCTAAGGCTGGGTGAGGGTGCGTGTGCACGTTCTGTGTGTGAGTGCATCCACTCTGCCCAACCAATGCCACTAAATACCACAGATTCACCAGCCTGCCTGGCCTCAGATCAGTTATATATATATATATATATATCAGTTATAGCTACAGCTGCAGGACTCCTGCCTTTTGCAGTGCCACTGCTTTTGCTGTGTGTGCCCTTGAGTGAGCTGCGTGTCTGTGTGTGTTGCAGTGCTGGCGTGGGGCGGACGGGAACGTTCATTGCCCTGGACCGGCTCTTGCAGCACATCCGTGACCACGAGTTTGTGGACATTTTGGGCCTGGTGTCGGACATGAGGTCCTACAGAATGTCCATGGTGCAGACAGAGGTAAGGTCTGTTCACTTCAGCACCGTGACAGTATTGTCATGCCCATTTCATACCCTTTTTCATCATGTTCATGCAAATAATCATACACATGAGAATCCTTGTTGTTCCCCTTGACAAAACCAGTATGAGTCAATACAATCAAGTTTTCGACTTCATTGTGATATTGTCACATTATTAATCTGCTGCATAGGTGGGTTTGATGATATATCTGCAATCTCACTGTCTGCCAGAGGAAACGAGTTATTCTCACCTTCTGTGAAATGAATATGCAAACAATGTATTAGAATAGATTAACATATGAAATTTTCAAGCCACACTGCAAAGAGCTGGGCTTGCTGAGGGTATTAATGGCTCATGAAATGATATCAGTATCAGGCAGCCTTGTTCAAGTATCATGTTGGTATCATTCAGCCAAGCCTCATCACACAATGGAATTTCAAACAAGCAAAACAGACAAAAGGATTGTGAATCTGCCAGACACCCTCCTTGCCCCTCTCCCTATCCAAATATCTACTGGCTAGTTATTTTTCTGTTTTTCAAGACAAAAATATATAGACAATATATACTGGGGGAAAAAAAAATCACAAACTCGTTCTTAAAAGCAGAAGATTATATGCATCTAAACCTTCCCAGTTCTCCTAGTAAAGAGGGAAATATTTCATATTTCATGCCTGTTGTGCTCTTCCTTGGTTAGACACACCATATAAATGAGCAACCTCCATGCAGTTAGAAATGTCACCATCACTGTTTCCAGATGATGATTGCTTTTTGCCAAAGTTTGTTGAACTGAGATCAAAGAAAAAACTTGTAGCAGGGAGAGGAGAGGAGGAAGAAAACCTGCAGTGACAACAACTAGGATCTGGAAATGAAAAAAAAATTAATTTTCAGTCCATTCTGGATCATTCCTATCAAACTGCCATTTTCATCACAATTCACTGTATTAATCCAAAGGCAGATCCTTTCCACCAGAGGAAAAAAATCCCGGTGGGTGATTGATTTCAGCTCCAACTGTTACCACTCCAGAGGTGATGTGGGTTTTTGTAGGGTTCTTTTTTCCTTTAAATATTTCAATTCTTTTCATGTAGAGCCTCATTGCATGTTAAGGGCAGTTCCTAAGCTCCTGCAGCTACAGGCAAGCCTGGCCTCAGTGTCACCAAGGGACACTGACACTCAGTCACAGAGGCCACCAAACAGTTTTTCCTTACAAAATATGAAACCACTGATAGCTCACCTGAATTCACAGTGCCTGGTATGCTGGAGACTTGGCAGTGTCTCAATGAGCAGTTTCAAAAAACAAATGGCATGGGCCCAAAAAGGGCCTTAGAATTGGGAATATCCTTAATTGAAACCAGTCTCTCCAAATTAACTACTCTGTGAACAGAATTGGGGTTTTCTTTTTATTGATAAAGAAGTCAAACACTGAGGAACCTGAACCTCATTAAAATATTTCAGATGCATATGTGGCATGGGTGCAATTTATTGCACATAAAGCATCCAGATACCTTTCTTGGAATTTATTTTTAGGCAATGTAAAGTAAAGCAACTTTAACTCAGATTCAACTCTTCTGTCATCATTCAGGTTATTAATAAGGGATTATGGTGTCAGGTGGATTTCATGCTTCCCCTTCTGTTATCTGTAACAATTGTGGTCTATTATTTTGGGAGTTGATAACTCCCTGTGCATTGTGAGGGGCTTGAGCTGGGAGACATGTTACTGTGAACCATCAAACTATTCCACTGGTTGTGTTTTTGTCATGCTTTCTGGGGCAAAAAATGCCCATTTATATGGTCTTTTCTTCTAGGAGCAGTACATTTTTATTCACCAGTGTGTGCAGCTGATGTGGCAAAAGAAGAAGCAGCAGTTCTGCATCAGTGATGTCATATATGAGAACGTCAGCAAGTCCTAGTTCAGAGTCACAGGTGGTAAGTCAGGCCCTGTGCCATGACCACAACCTCACATCCCTGTTCCACTGGAATTTGGGGCTTTTCTTATTCCTCTTCCATGTTCACATGGAGAGTGAGGGAAAAATCCTTCTAACCTCTCACAGTAGATAACCCACTACCCTTTCCATGGCCCTGTAAGAATATATGGGCTCAGTCATGTTTAAAGAAAAAGAGAATCCAAACTCCTGATGAGCCATCTAAGCATTCCGTACCACTTGTCATGACCTGCCATGCAAAGCTTAAAGGCAGGGAGAACTTCAATTACCTCCAGTTCTTCTCAAAAAAGAATTTTACCTGGTTACCAAGGCCAGCAGAGGCTTGGGGATGCTCTGCTGGAAGGTAACCAAAAAGCTCTGGCATGAAACAGTGGGAAATATTTTCCTAAATCAAAAATCACAGAACCAGAGAACCAGCAGCATCTGTGAAGGGTTGGTCTCACTCTCCTCCTGACCTCTGTGCCTGAGTAAAACAAGTGCCTGTGACCACAAGGTTTGCTGGTGGGAACAAGCTGTGGGGATGTGTGTCACTGCTCTTTAAGCTCCCAATCTTTGGCTCATTAGGTGGCAGCAATAACCCAGCCATAACCTAAATAGTCCCATTTGGGTGGAGCAGGAAGCTGCAGGCTTGGACACAAGCTGCTTTCTGAGCAGCTGGTGGAGACCTGTGCTGGGGGAGCATCTCCAGCTGTGTTTGCTGTGTGTCTGTGGTGTTGCACTTGTGTATTTATTAACCCTTGTGTGCATCATCCCCCTGTCTGTAAAGGAACCCCAGTTTGCCTCGCTGTCCCTCAGGTTTAGGGTTACTGTCTAGTCTGAGTCCCAGCACCTTGTACTGGTGACCTGCAGTCCCAGCCTGAGTGGAGGGTCAGTAAAACAAATGCTAAAAATAAATGTTTATTCCCTTTTCTTCTCTCTAAAGCATTCTGTTTGTTTGGTTGCAGGTGAGACCATGAAGCACACCCATCTTCCCTTGCTTCTGATTTATTTTCTGTTGATGGTTTGAAGGGGCAGGTGTTGTGCCACTAGAGACCACTGCTTTGCAGTGCATAGACAATGAGGGAAAGAAACTTTTACCTTTCTGAAGCACTGGGGAGACAAAGCCTTAACGAGCCTGCGATGTCTTTTGAACTGTTTAATTTCTGGACATTTTTTTTAAATACTGGACCAAATTCAGCTAAACAACATGAAGGAAAAGACACTATATGTGCATAAAACAGATTGCTCCAGAGCATTGGGATTTTGTTTGGTACTTTCAGGTAATTTCTTTCATAATATTTTGGTTTTCTGTGCAGGTTGGGCTTAAGGTTAAAGTAAGTGCAATATTTTTTTAATGGTTGACTGAAGAGCTTTCTTCATGTGTCACTGGTCTGTCCCTAGGAGAGCAGGCATTGTTAGTATCTAATAATACCTCATTAGTGAATAGCGAGGCATGAACATACATGAAGAAACCTGGAGATTGTGAAAAGGGGCTGGGAGGGCAGGGGGGGGCTGCTGGCTCCATGGATTTGACTGTTCCCTTAGAGCACTGATGGGGACTGTGTGGGGCCTGGGGGGAGCATGGGACCTGAGGAAGCATTGACGAGCAGAAATCTGAGCTGTGAAGCTGAAACAGGCAGCTGAGGGAAGGGGTGGGTTTGGTTCTTGACTGGGCCGCCACTAATTGAGCAGAGGGATTGCTCTTTTTGCCAACCTTTTTTCAGTAATGCCACTTATCAGGCTCTTCTTTTTGGTGGATCTAATCACAGGGCAGCTGAGTTTCCAGCTGGGATATCTTAGCATATATACTATAGCATTTAACTGTCTGAGCAGTCTATGGTGCCTATACCCCTCACTCATGTATTGTTTTTAGTAATTATTAACCCTGTGTAAAAATGTGAAGCTGGTTCAGGTTGGAGGAGTGGAAAAAAAACCCACAAAAAGTGCTTTAATAGACGTAACTATTTTTCCTGAACCAGGAATTTACAATGTTACAAATACAAGGTTTTGGCATGTGAAGGGCTGGTTTTCAATTTGTTGCTACAAGGCTGCAAAAATGTCAGTATGGATTCCTACAGGGCCTTTGGGGGCAGGGAAGGGGGCTCTTTTCTTTTTTGCTGTCCATTTCAGTTCTAGTCAAAATAATTAGCTATATATATATATATCTTTTTTTTTTTTTTTT